GAAAAAAGTATTTGATCCCCTGCTGATTTTGTACGTTTTCCCACTGATAAAGAAATGATCAGTCTATAATTTTAATGGTAGGTTTATTTGAACATTAAACGACAGAATAACAGCAACAAAATCCAGAAAAACGCATGTCAAAAATGTTATAAATTGATTTGCATTTTAATGAAGAAAATAAGTATTTGACCCCCTCTCAATCAGAAAGATTTCTGGCTCCCAGGTGTCTTTTATACAGGTAACGAGCTGAGGTTAGGAGCACACTCTTAAAGGGAGTGCTCCTAATCTCAGCTTGTTACAGTGAGGGAAACAAGTATTTTATCCCCTGCTGATTTTGTACGTTTGCCCGCTGACAAAGAAATGATCAGTCTGTAATTTTAATGGTGGGGTTATTTGAACAGTAAAAGACAGAATAACAGCAACAATCCAGAAAAACGCATGCCACATGTTATAAATTGATTTGCATTTTAATTGTCTCCACGCATGCACCAGTCTCTCTCTAATCACCCTGTCTCCATACCACTTCACACTGTTCTTCACCACTATACAGTAGTACCGTACACACACGCAATCACACCGTCCCTATACCACTACGCACAGTCTTCACTACTATAAGTACCGTACACCACGCCATCACACCCTATACCACTACGCACAGTCTTCACTACTATAAGTACCATACACCACGCCATCACACCCTATACCACTACGCACAGTCTTCAACACTATAAGTACCGTACACCACGCCATCACACCCTATACCACTACGCACAGTCTTCACTACTATAAGTACCGTACACCACGCCATCACACCCTATACCACTACGCACAGTCTTCACTACTATAAGTACCGTACACCACGCCATCACACCCTATACCACTACGCACAGTCTTCACTACTATAAGTACCGTACACCACGCAATCACACCGAAAATGCATTTCTGTAGAACTGCTTTCCGTGATCCTTAGCTCGCTCGAAGGGATCTCGTCGGCAGTGGCTCTGCGACGGCCGCTTCCCCGCGGGTCATTCGCAGAGGTCGCAAACGGGTTCTGATTCCTTACCCCTCGTACCCGTACCCGGCCGGGTACGGGTAGGGTTCGGGTATCGGGTACCCGCTTGCGACCTCTGGGACGAAGCCATGTTGCAGGCGCGGGTGGGTTGATTCTAGGAACTTGAATTGTGAGAAGAGACAAGACGTTGGGAAATGAGTGACAAACGGTGACTCACCAGTGACTCACGGTCTACCCGTACCCGGCCGCACCAGGGTCGCAAACGGCTACCCGTACCCGGCCGGGTACGGGTAGCCGGGTATCCGGTAGGGTGCGGGTATCGGGTAGGGTACGGGTATCGGGTAGGGTACGGGTATCGGGTAGGGTACAGGTATCGGGTAGGGTACAGGTATCGGGTAGGGTACGGGTATCGGGTAGGGTACGGGTATCTGGTAGGGTACGGGTATCGGGTAGGGTACTGGTGTCGGGTAGGGTACGGGTATCGGGTACCCGGTTGCGACCTCTGGTCGTTTGACGTCGGGAGGAGAAGTGCGCGGAGATGTTGTTCAGCTCGACGTTAACGGCGGTCGCACAATAGCGACGATCTCGTGAGCTCTCTCCCCTCTGCTGTTCCCTCCCCAGTCACGCTGGAGACGCAGTGCGGATGCAAGGAGCAGCTCAAGGAGAACGTCAAGTGCAAGCTTTGCCCGTGGACCGTCGATCAATTCGCTTGCAAGTAGCCTCCAGCCCCAGTGGAGGGGGGGCCTCGACTGAGATCGCGACCCCCACAAAGTTGTTTATGGCATCGACATCCAGCGTGTACCCCTCACTACGAGCTGCGTTCTACTATACACACTTCACTCGCGTGCGACACGCCACCAGCCACACTCTGATACACTGCACTATGCACTACCCTACTATACACTATACACTACCCTAATATACACTATGCACTACCCTACTATGCACTACCCTACTACACACTCTGCATGCGCTTCATCTTCACGATGTGGAAGCGCCGTTGTTTTGTGACGTCGCCACTTGAATGCGCTTAGCGACCAAGTGGCGTTGTTCCGTTTATTCCTTTGTTCTCGTTAACGCCGCGTTTGCCAAATCTGGGCAACGTTCACTCGGCGCTTGTTGGGATTCACAGCGAGGTCCGTCGCACCCTTCCCTGCGAGCCGCGTCACACTGAATCTACTACTTCACACGACTTCGCACTGCACTTGTATGCAGTGTCTCACCTATAAAAGTCATTTTTGTCTCTTTATCTGTGTGTGTGGATGAAACTTGCTAAGGATTTGGCTCACGAACCACAGGGTGTACGGTTAAAGTACCCACACACACTACACACGCCACGCCACACACTACGCCACACACTCACACCACACACACACCACACACCACACTATACACACACCACCCCACACACTACACCACACACACTACGCCACCCACGCCACACACACACGCCGCACACACACCACACACACACGCCACACACACCACACAGACCACACACGCCACACACACACGCCACACTACACTACACACACCACACACGCTACACACACCACACACGCTACACACACTACACTACACACCACACACACTACGCCACCCACGCCACACACACACGCCGCACACACACCACACACACTACGCCACCCACGCCACACACACACGCCGCACACACACCACACACACCACACACGCCACACACACACGCCACACACACCACACACCACACACACACGCCACACTACACTACACACACCACACACGCTACACACACCACACACGCTACACACACTACACACACACCACACACACTACACACACCACACTACACACACACCACACACACTACGCCACACACGACAGCCAGTAAGGAATTGTAGATCCGCCACTGACAATCCACTCCAAAGCATCCGCTGATAAAAGAAGATAAAGGTGCGGTCCCTGCAATTCCCCTACTCAGGCTCTTGTTGGCAGAACGGCCTTCCCACTCTGAGGAGCTCTGGACAGAGTTCTTCGATGGGCTACTTGGCCTACTCTTCCACGCTGACGTCTACAGACGCCGTGGGAAAACACACCAGAGTGGGGGTAGCCCACACTCTACCCCACCGACTGGACCGGGTGGTGGCTGGGTGCGTTTGAGAAACGTGTCCATTGGTTCAGCTGCCGTAGCGACGGCGGGTGACGGAGCGGTGACCTCTGGGTTGTTTGACCTTCTGAGTCAATGATTGGCGTCACGTTGCGAGCCCAGTGTGTTTGTACGTGCGACGTCGGTCAAATGAAAGTCACTTAAATTTCTATTTTAAAGCTTTCGTGACTGCAGGGATTCATATTCTTGGTTGTTTCGGTAAAGTCACGTAGAAGGGAAATAATACAATATTTAAAACAATAACATTTCTCACGTTTCGACTGCAACACAAGCAATCATCAGGTGTGAAATCCACAGAAAAAACATTTTTAAAATTTTCTTGCTGTGGATTTCACACCTGATGATGATGATTGCTTGTGTTGCAGTCGAAACGTGAGAAATTTTATTGTTTTATATTTACATTATTTTATTATTCCCCTTCTACGTGACTTTACCGAAAGAACCAAGAATATGAAAGTCACTTATTTGAACGGCCCTGGACTGAGACTGCCTGTGACCTTCAGCGTTGAGGCGCCGCTCAAATAACTAAACAGCAGCAAAGGCAAACGACAAACATCGTGAGTAGTGAACAGCGAGTGGATCAGCACGGCTGGGCTACGTACGGTGCGAAAGAAGTTCAACACACAGAGCAGAAGCTGTTGTTTGTGTCACTTTCTTTGTTGCAACTTGCCGGAAATCTGTGTAAATGAACACAAATAAGCCGCGTGGCTCGGCAGATTTCTCCAGTAACGAACCAAACACCTCTTCCGATTGCGAAACACAAACTCGGCAATCAGTTGTGCAGACCAGAAGGGGGGGGGGGGTGAATGTCGTCGTGAATGACAGCGGGTGTCTGTCACTGACTGGGTTATATCGACACACACAACGTATGTTGATCACGCATGCACACGATGCATGCGCATTGCGTGTGTGTACGTTCGGCCGTTGTAAAAATAACTTCACCCAAATACACTCGTAGCGATGTTGACGTGTAACCCGGTCACAGGAGCAGACTTAAAGCGGCTAATGCCGATGGGTAAAGGTGCAGTCCTGCAAGTGCTCGCGTCACCGCTGTGACGGTAGGTTTTCTCGAGGGAGCTCTGGAGAGAGAGCCTCCGTGGGATGTAACTTGGCCTACTCTTCCACGCTGGCCGATACTTTGTTTTAGGAGAGGTAGGACTACACAGAATCGGTGATGATGTATCTTGGAGGAATCCGATGAGCTGTGAAGCTCTTCATCACAGATATCCAGTCGGAAATGTTGACCACCACCACCCACATTTTACCCCACCGGTGAAATTAAAGCATGCACACACTCTTGAGGGCCTTGTGATTCTAAATGTTGAGGGAAAACCCGGAGAGAAATCCACGTGGCCACGGGAAGAGAGACACGCAGACTTCAAATATACAGCAGCAGGCGTTAGGATCGGGATCGAACCCACGACCTCCTGTATACCAGGCGAGGTAGTCAACATCTCCTAGCCACCGTGATGATGAGAGACACGCAGACTCCAAATATACAGCAAGCGTCAGGGTCTGGATAGAACCCACAACCTGTATACCAGGCGAGGTAGTCAACATCTCCTAGCCACCGTAATGATGATGAGACACGCAAACTCCAAATATACAGCAGCAGGCGTCAGAGTTTGGATAGAACCCACGACCTCCTGCATACCAGGCGAGAGAGTTAACATCTCATAGCCACCGGAGCACCACCCGCAGCCTCAACGTCACAGCCCAGGGTGTCCCATGACCGTCCCGATGCACCCAAGGATAGAACGCCGCGCTTTCCCATCGTGACGATGACGACGACGATTTCCGACACCAAGAACGCGACACAGCCTTGGCGACAGACACCTTATTTATTTTGTCACCGTAACAAGGAAAGAAAGATACATTGTCGCGTAGAAAAACTGGTAAGCACAGACTCTTTGGTTCTTTCGGTAAAGTCACGTGGGTAGAAGTAAAATAAATCACGTTTCGAGGGCAACACAAGCGCCCGTCATGAGGTTGTGTCGCGCCCGAAACGTCGCGATTTAATTCTAAACATTACCTACAAACGACACAACTAAGATGCCACATCAATCATCGCCCCCTACTGACAGGCTCTTGTTCATACGCAGGCCGGTGCAGGGCCACCACCTTGTGCCACACAGGGGCAGCTGCCACTTGGGGTGCTCTTCGAGTGTTTGAGATGAGGTACGATACAAAACTCCGAGTTGCCGAGGTGATTAAGCAAGCACCATATAAATGCAATTATGAGAACAGAGTGAATGCTTGGGAGCTTATTGGCTCTCGCTCCTGGTTAGAGATCTACCCAACACACAGGTCCACAAAGACTGGCCACCCTTACCCTGCAGGTTGAACCTAGGAACTGAGTGTTCAACTTCACATTCTTGTCATTAAAGGCCTGTGACAACGGTGCATCTATTGGAGCGACATCGTCTCAAGCTTACACATCTACCGGGTCTCCATTTGACTTTGAATTGTCTCGGAGGAAGTCCATCCACACCTCCACCTCCACAAACTGCTGCTGGGAGTTGCCTCGCTCTGCCTCACAGTCAGAATTCTCCTCCTGCTTCACGTTGCCTCCATTGATGCGAAGGTCCCATTCTGGACTTGAATCTTCATCTTCACATTTTACCTTCACTTCTTCGCTCTTCACCATCACCTCTTCATATTCCACCATCACTTCTTCACATTTCACCTTCACCTCTTCATATTTCACCTTGGTACCTTTAAAAGTGTCCAAGCTGAGATTTTCTTCTGGTTCTTGTTTGATGAGGGATGGGCTCATTGCAGCACTTTGACTTTCACAAGCTTTCAGACTCCACTCCTTGTGGATCTTGTGATGCTTGTGTGTTCTCTGGTGTACATGAAGATGTGATGACTGTGCAAACGCCTTCCCGCATGGAGTGCACTTGAAGGGTTTCTCTCCCGTGTGTGTTCTCTGGTGTTCTACAACAGCAGATGACTGTGCAAACGCCTTCCCACACACACAGCACTTGAAGGGTTTCTCTCCTGTGTGAGTTCTCTGGTGCCGTGTAAAATGTCCAGTATGATTCGTGCTGTATGCACACCGGTCGCATTGATGCCTTTTGGCACCGAGCTGCGCCGAGTGCCTTTGCTCCATCAGACCAATTCTGCAGAGGAAGCAACAGCTGCAGACAGAAAAAAAGAATATCTACACGTCAGTATCGAGGCACAGTGGAATGCATATATACACAGTCACACGTGACTTACACGTCTATACTTATTCATAGATATGCATGATGTAGTGAAAAAGCGTCCTAAATTCATCACACGGGCTGTTATGGCACACAATGAGAGGGTGAATGGTCACAAACATGCCTGGAGGGCCTCTATTCTTCAAAATGAATGTTAACCCAAAGCTCTGAGCACACAATTTCGGATGTCAAGCTACAAAATGAATATTTATGAAAGCTAAATTCAGCTGACATAGCAAAAGGTGTTGAAAATAATACTATTTGTGTTATGCAGAAATGCATAAATTAATGTTCAATCGCAACTTAGAGGTGTGAAGCCAGCCAGGCTCACGATGTCCTGAATGCTGAGATGAACTGATCTGACTTCAGCTGCTGCACGTGTGTGCTGTGAAAACTTCCTGTTTCCATTCGTATAAAGAGTTCCAGAGGAAAACAAAAATAAACTACAGCTTTGATACAACCTCCGTGTTCAACAGAGTTGATAGACTTTACTGCAAACACAAAGTTTACACTGTCACACACTGCCATGGGTAAACAGGCGGTGGTGTGTCCAGAACCATGCCTGGCCACCTTCATCCGCTTAACACATTCCTGCTGTGGAGGGAGCTGGTAGGAACGTTGGGTTGCTCGGTCAATGGCCTGCAGGGTCAACGGTTACGTGGTGTATTCCGCAAATATGCCGACTGTGAGGGCGGGCACAAGCCGGCGTGAGTAGGTGAAACGTTGAGTTTTATAAGGGCACCACGGGGTGACCAGCCCCTCCCCACCCAGCCCCACCCCACCTAGCCCCTCCCCACCCAGCCCCTCCCCACCCAGCACCACCCCACCTAGCCCCTCCCCACCCAGCCCCTCCCCACCCAGCCCCTCCCCTCCCACCTTCCACCCAGCCCCACCCTCCCCTCTCCACCCAGCCCCTCCCACCCTCCACCCAGCCCCACCCTCCCCACCCAGCCCCTCTCCACCCTCCGCACCCAGCCCCTCCCCACCCTCCCCTCCCCACCCAGCCCCTCCCCACCCATTTCTGGATGCACGACGGACGGACGGACACAATAATCCCCTGTGGGCTGGTGGAACCAGGAGGTTTCTAGCGGTGACATTAATGCCGCGTCACTCCACCAAGTAACGAATGGAGGATCAACCGACACAGCCGAGGCGCTCCCCGTGTCTCTCCCTCTCCCCGTGGCGGCGGCGTCGATTTACCTCCTGCCCCCCCCCCCCCCCCCGCGGTGCCCCCCTCCACTCGTTCAGAGTGAACAGCGGCACGCGGCGCTGAGCGCCTGTGACCCACAGACACCGACTCGCGGTGCCGCGTCCAGAGTGAACACCGCCATGCTGTTGACAAGCCTCACCTCGTGGTGGTTGTTGTTGTTGTGGTTGTTGTTGTGGTGGTTGTTGTGGTTGTTGTTGTTGTTGTGGGCAGGTCGCTTCTGAGAACGAGAGCGGTACAGCAGCTCAAGCGGGCTTGGCCTGGTAACAAACACGAAGAACAAAAACTGCGTTAATATCTACAGCGAACCAAAGTTACAGAGTAGCGAGCCGCGTGAAGACAAATTTATCTTGAGCGAGAGAATTAAACTTGAACGCAATCAGGCGAGGGCAGGAGGCAAGGCCCCGCGGGGCAAAGTTCCAATCTGGACATCGATTCCAACACTCGCTGCTACTCAGTTGACATCCCTGAGAGAGAGAAACAGCGAGGCTCTACCTTGGTACACAACAACAACAACCACAACAACCACAACGATGAGAAATTCTCACCTCGGAGTTCAGTAAGCACGCAGCTGCAGCGGCAGCTTCCTGTTACCTCGTGACGTCACGCGGCAGCAGCAAGTGACATGACGTCACTTTCGGGTTACAAGCCACGTTCCTCCCACAACGAGCGACCCCGTAACTGAATAAATTAGAGCGTGAATACATTAAATGACGTCACGCACCTGGGGGGGGTCAGATATTTGTGACGATGTGTGACGAGAGGGGGGGGGTTTGAGAAATGTGACGTCACATCAAAATGCGCAACTTTTTAAATAAATATAGACGACACGTTCTACTTAATTAAATAGACTTTGTAATAAATGTTTTCCCCTACATCAGAGTGCAGCGCCACATTAAATACGCACTACACAATGACAATAGTTTAAAGCGATTTGAAGCATTTTTTTTGGGGGGGGGCAGAGCTTTGTGACGTCATATATGAGGGGGGGGTCTCACTTTTTATGACGCCGTGTGACGAAGGGGGGGGGGGGGTCAAAAATCGTCCAAAATCTCGTGACATTGCAGATTCCACCCGCGTGCAAGATGTGTCTTCGCTATCTAACCCTGCGGCCAAGTTGTCGGCACTGCTACGCAACGTGTCTTCTCCCCCCCGCCGCCTTCAGCGCGCTCAAGTGCGGTGACACGACCCCCGCGACCTGCACGCCATAGGGAGGTCCTCATCCAAGCGACGCTTGACCACAGGTCTGCCCTTGTCACTGCCTGTGGCGTCACACTCAGCATGCCTCGTGCCAATGGTGGCACGTCACCGTGTGACCAACACGAGCCCACTGTTGCACGTCTACAGGGTCGTTGTGCTGTGCTGCTCTAGTCGTGACTGATTGGGGTATATTGGCTTGTACTGATTGAGTGATGGCTCAGTGTGGTTCACGGTTTTGTTTTTCTTGTTGTAAGTGACACATTGCGCAATGCATTCAGCCGCAGTGAAGAAGCTATTTTCAGGACGGGATGAAATGCCGCTCGCTAGAACGCTCAGTCTGAACGTTGCTTTTGAAAGATGCCCATCCGGTGGCGCTTAAATGTCCCCGGCATCTCACGGCGCCGCACATCTCACCTCGATCGCTCTCGCGGACAGATGTAGTTCTCGTTGAAGCCGAGGGGACGCGCGGTCGATCGCTGTCCCTTGGTGCTACAAGGCAGCGTAGCATCGGCCTGCCAGCGGCAACAGTCTTCCAGTAGGGGGCGATGTTGCCCTTGGATATTCCAACTAAGTGCACCGTTGCTTTAACTGGGCGCCACGGTGGCGAGATGTTAACTTCCTTGCTTGGTGTGCAGGAGATCGTGGGTTCGATCCCAACCCTGGTGCCTGCATATTTGAGCTTGCATATCTCTCTTGCCGTGGTCGCGTGGATTTTTCTCCGGTTTGTCACTCCGCATTTACAAACGTGCGTCTAGAGTGTTTGTCTGATAGAAATGTCCACACGATAAGCCACTTCGTGCAGCTGTCACTAGTGATGGGCAGGTCGCTCGGGAGAGAGTGCTACATAGTTCAGTGGGCCTCACCTAGTAGTCTAATAAAACAATTGTTCACAGTTTTTTTTAAATATATAAGAGCTAAGTAATTCACGAGCTCATTTTTACAATGTTTGATCATTTTGGACCTTGACGTCGGCACAAATGGCCAACTGCATTTTTCCAAAAACGTCATGAACCGCAAACCGTTCCAACAAGCTTGGGACAGCTAGAAGCTACCTGGGGGACCTTTGTCTGTGTGTGTATCATAGGCGGTGCTACTCGCTACTAGCAGCACTTGCCCCTACAACCCTGCTAGAGGCTACCTGGGGGAGCTTTGTCTGTGTGTGTATCATAGGCGGTGCTACTCGCTACTAGCAGCACTTGCCCCTACAACCCTGCTAGAGGCTACGTGTGGGAGCTTTGTCTGTGTGTGTATCATAGGCGGGGCTACTCGATACTAGTAGCACTTGCCCCAACAGCCCTGCTAGAGGCTACCTGGGGGAGCTTTGTCTGTGTGTGTATCATAGGCGGTGCTACTCGCTACTAGCAGCACTTGCCCCTACAGCCCTGTTAGAGGCTACCTGGGGGAGCTTTGTCTGTGTGTGTATCATAGGCGGTGCTACTCGCTACTAGCAGCACTTGCCCCTACAGCCCTGCTAGAGGCTACCTGGGGGAGCTTTGTCTGTGTGTGTATCATAGGCGGTGCTACTCGCTACTAGCAGCACTTGCCCCTACAGCCGCCTAGAGGCTACCTGGGGGAGCTTTGTCTGTGTGTCATAGGCGGTGCTACTCGCTACGAGCAGCACTTGCCCCTACAGCCCTACTAGAGGCTACCTGGGGGAGCTTTGTCTGTGTGTGTATCAGAGGCGGGGCTACTCGCTACTAGCAGCACTTCCCCCTACAACCCTGCTAGAGGCTACCTGGGGGAGCTTTGTCTGTGTGTGTATCATAGGCGGGGCTACTCGCTACTAGCAGAACTTGCCCCTACAGCCCTGCTAGAGGCTACCTGTGGGAGCTTTGTCTGTGTGTGTATCATAGGCGGGGCTACTCGATACTAGTAGCACTTGCCCCAACAGCCCTGCTAGAGGCTACCTGGGGGAGCTTTGTCTGTGTGTGTATCATAGGCGGTGCTACTCGCTACGAGCAGCACTTGCCCCTACAGCCCTACTAGAGGCTACCTGGGGGAGCTTTGTCTGTGTGTGTATCAGAGGCGGGGCTACTCGCTACTAGCAGCACTTCCCCCTACAACCCTGCTAGAGGCTACCTGGGGGAGCTTTGTCTGTGTGTGTATCATAGGCGGGGCTACTCGCTACTAGCAGCACTTGCCCCTACAGCCCTGCTAGAGGCTACCTGGGGGAGCTTTGTCTGTGTGTGTATCATAGGCGGTGCTACTCGCTACTAGCAGCACTTGCCCCTACAGCCCTGCTAGAGGCTACCTGGGGGAGCTTTGTCTGTGTGTGTATCATAGGCGGGGCTACTCGCTACTAGAAGCACTTGCCCCAACAGCCCTGCTAGAGGCTACCTGGGGGAGCTTTGTCTGTGTTATGGGCGTGTCCTCTTTCAGAGCCACCGCCTGAAACGTCGCCCTGCATCAGCGGCCGATGTCATCACGCCCACATCACGTGGTCTGTCATCTCTTAATTGATCCAATTAAGAGTGTCACGGACAGACAAAGCTACGCCAGGTAGCCTCTAGCAGGTCTGTAGGGGCAAGTGCTGTTAGCGGGTACCTATATCACGGGTACACGCCCGACCGCCTTTGTCTCCCCAGTGGTGATGTTCCCCTTCCAACATCACCAGCACCACCACCAGCAGCACCACCACCACCAGCACCACCACCCGCTCGTGACGAGTCGTTGTCAAAGTTGTGCAATCTTGAGGCTGTGGGAAACCAGACCACCCCGCCCGCAACATCCTTCACTACAACGGCAAAGCTCCCCCGTGTAGCCTCCACACACTTTGTGGGGGCAGGTGCTGCTAAACACACAACAACAACAACCGCCATTCGCCACTAAGTGGCGGTGACGTCACCACGACGCTTGTGCCAGGCCATGTGCACCTTGAGGCCACGTGAAGTGTCGAACGCCCGCTGGCAGGAGGTCACGGGGCAGACCCAGCAGGTGCCACGGGTCGACTGACCGAGATGACCGAGATGACTGGCTGATGCACCACCTGTGCCCCATACTGTGCCAACTTGCTGTGTTTTAGCCACCCGGCGCTCCGCTCGTTGTTGTGAGCGTCGCTCCTCCGCCCTCCGTTGTTGTTGGAGGGCGACTACCTCAAACTGCCCAGTAGCGTCCTTCACGAGCCTCCTCCACAGAGGCCAATTTTGACGCCGCTGGTACCAGTCATCGGCAAGTCCACTCAGCTGCACGTCCTCCTGTACCACATCACTCCATCTCTTCTCTAGCCCGTGCCACGCCCGTTTAGCCCCCTCGATCCGGCCGAACAAAAGCTGTTTAGGCATGCGGTGGCTGGGCATGCGGGCTACATGACCCAGCCAACGCAGCCTTGCCTGCCGGAGGAGCTCACCAAAGGGACTTTGCCCAGATCTTTCAAGGATTTGTGAGCTCCTCACACAATCCAGCCTGCCGGTTAAACCCAGGATGGATCGTGCACAATACCCATGGCAAACATCACCCTTCACCACCCACCATCTGCATGATATTCTCCCCGTGGATTTGTCTCCGGGTCCTCCGGTTTTCCCCCTCCACATTTAGAATCAACATCACGCGTTTAGAGCGTTTGGCTGCTTTAAGTGTTCACGTCATCAGCCATTTCAATGTGGCTATCATTTGTGAAAGCCAGGTCGCTTCTGCAAGAGCGCTACGTCGCTCAGTGGGCCATGCTTTGTGAACTAAGACAGATGTTTGCGTTTATAGACATTGCAGCAGTCAGAGACGCACACGTTTAGATTGCAGAGAGGATCGTACCAGTTTCTTTTGTTCAGGGGGCTGGGAATGCGTTTGCTTTATAAAAGTGCTCTCACTTTCAATCTGCCCTTGAAAGCAATCGTTAATCGAGTCCAGTCCTGCCGTCGTGTGTTTACTTAGCCACACTGGCGAAAGGTCACTCCTGACATTTCCATAACGAATGCAAGAGGCTTCATCGCATGCGAGAGAACGCCGACTCGAGCAGAGTGGCACGCTACGTTCTCTTCCTCAAACGAGTCTTTGCATTTGGACGC